TGCCCGCTAGTGGGAGGTTTATAAACGCTAGCACATGTCGACATGTTACTGATAGAACCGGTTCGTTTCTGTAACCCTACTAGTGGGGGTTAAACACTAGTAATTTCTGTAGCCCGCCAGTGGGAGGTTTATAACACTAGCCGTGACCTATAGAGGAGACGTCTATTTCATGCTTGTACTGTATCCATTTTTCGTGATTGTACTTGTTGGCATGCTTTAAGTTTGATAAGGGGCACTCCATATTTACTTACTGAGTTTATCTCATAGTTTTTCCTTGTTCACCATTTCAAGAAGGGAAACCGAGGACAGGGAAACCACGGGAAGTGACGAGTTAGAAGGCTAGCCATATTGTAATTGGATATAAATTTTAGATATGAATCATGATCTTGTATTTGGAGATTTTATTAGAGATTTATGATATCAGAGAGATTTTATAATTTGATCTTCAGATTTTGGTGGTATCAAAGTGTGATATGATAAGTTCCGAGCCTTGTGCACTTGTGGGACCCGTCTCACGAGTGTACGGCGTCTGTCGCGCCTCGAATTTGGGTTTTGGGGCGTGACAGTTGGTTTGTTATGTTATTCTTGGATTTAATATTAGGAAATGTTAGGGTTTGCAGAAGGTGAAAGGGAGAGGAAGAAGAAAGGGAAAAAAGAAAAACAAAGAAAGAAAAAAAAAAGAAAATTTTTAAAGTAATTTCTTGCCATCTCATTTTTTTGCCACGTTGTACATCTTAGGTGTCAAAATGTTTTAACATGTCATCCTTTTCTCCGTCAAGTAACAAGACACATAAGCGGATATTTAACGGAAGGACCAAATCGAGGTAAAAATGGTAAACAGTAAGGATCAAATCAGGGATTTTTTTAGTTTAAGGACTAAATCGGAGGTCCGTACAATAGTTCAAGGACCAAAAAGGAGTTTTAACCTTTTTTAAATAATGATGTGAAAAACAAAACATGCAAAAGGTGATGAGATGGTATTTTTTCTTTTCATGTGACATTTTATATTATTATATAGGTAAATAAGAGACCCACATAATTTATAAATTGTATTATTCATCTTCTTCCTCCCTTTTTCTCTCTCATCCCTCTACCTCCTCCTCTTCCCTCCTCCTTCTACCTTTTTCTTCTTCATTCTCTCTTCTCCCTTCTTCATCCTATCCTTCCCCTTTTAGATG